ATAGGGCCTTGGTTTTCTCAAGGGCCACCCGTAGGCCTTGAGCTCTGATGCGGGACACCACTAGTCCCACACCGACCACCGCCAGCTGGGTCGCCTCCTGATGCGTCGCGCCGCGACAAGAACGAGTGTGTCGTCAGCATAGCAGACAACACGAAGCCCGCGCAGCAGGGCACCACGGAGTACCCTGTCGTAGCCGATGTTCCACAGGAGTGGGCCAAGGACCGATCCCTGTGGAACACCGCACCACGTTTCCCTCTGTACGAGGACGCCATCGCGCCCTACACACACACAACGCTCCTTCCCCGTAGGTACGCCACAATAAATGCACGCAAGTACCGGGGGAGTCGGTGGTATCGGAGGCCCTCCTCGATGGTAGCGAACGGCAGGGTATTGAATGCGTTTGCGATGTCAAGAGACACCGCCAACACCACGTTGCCGTTTGCCGCCTGCTCCTCCGCATACCCCTTGACACACAATATGGCGTCTATTGTGGAGCGCGATGGTCGGAACCCGTATTGGGCGTCGGACAGGTCAGGACCCTCGCGCATCATATGACGTATGATGCGCGAGGCGACCACCCTCTCCAACAGCTTACCGGCCTCGTCCAACAGGATGATTGGCCGGTAAGCCGAGGGCGATTCTTCAGGGCGTCCCTCCTTACGAAGGAGAACAACCCTGCCCGCCTTCCAACACTGCGGGAACTCTCCACGCCGAAGACAAGCGGTGAAAAGCTCCCTCAAGCGTTCCTCTAGGGGCCCCAAGGCCAAGACCAGAGCCCTGCCGGGCACACCATCGGGGCCAGGGGCCGTTTTGCGCCCACGAAGCCGCAGAAGTGCGGCTCCCATCTCACCCTCGGATACCAGAGGCACCTCCTCGGTGGTTTCCGGCTCAGGCACCGGTGGGATAAACGCCAGTTGGGGCCGGGAACAACGCCTCCAGCACCGTGGCCAGCCGTTCCGGTGAATAGATCAGCAGGCGGCGGACCCCGACCAAGCTTGCCCCTGGTTGCTCGGTATGGACGACCCCAGGGATCGCGGTCCAAGCCCGCGAGGAGCTCACCCCAGGCAGTGTCTTTGGCCCTCAGGATGGCCAGCTGCAAGGATTTTTTGGCGTCGTGATACGCCCTCTGCAGATGGTCATTCAGTTCCTCATTCCGCGGCCGCCGCCGCCGCTGTCGTTGGAACTTCCGGCGGGCGGCGACACAGCGTCGCCGAAGATCCGCAATGTCAGGTGACCACCAGTACACCTGCCTCTTTTGAGGTCTTTGCCGCACGCGGACCATGCAGGCATCGCAGACCCTGGTGATCGCGCTGCGGAAACACATCGCCTCCTCGTCCGTCGTCCCCGGAGGCGGGGAGCTCCAGGACTCGACGATGGCGGCCTCCTTCAGCAGGTCAACGTCCAACCCCGCGAGGGCCCATCGCGGAAACGTTGAGGCCATCGCAGGGAAGGCGGGGACCAACTGCATCCCTCTGGAGGAGGAGACGCTGAAGCGGATATATAAGTGATCCGACAGCGTCTCCACCTCCCCCATAACTCGCCAATCTCGTACTGCCTGAGCAACCGCCGGGCTCGCAAAGGAAAGGTCTACAATGGACCCCCCTTGGACCCGAACACAGGTTTGTGATGTGCCGCAGTTGAGAAGTGCCAACCCAGATTCCGTGGCCCAGTCTTCAACCGCAATCCCCCGCACGTCTGTGGCAGGCGATCCCCAAGCCGTATTCTTGGCATTAAAGTCGCCCGCCACAATTACCGGTCGAGGTGCAACTCGCCTAATGGCCGCCTGCATATCACCGAGGAGCGTCTCGAGTTCAGCGAGGGTTTTGTTTGGGGAAAAATACACCGAGAATATTGTGTATTTCCCCCAGTCGGCCGCCACAAAACCATTTCCCCTCTCTTTGACGGAAAGGGGCGTGGTACCATCTGGAACATAGATGGCCGCCGTGCCCGTAGCATCCCCTATCCAGTTGGCGGGTATGCAATAAGGCTCCGCTACCACCGCCAGTCCAATTTGCCATTGCGCCAGTGCCTGGAATAATAGATCCTGGGCACCGGCGCAATGGTTTAGGTTTATCTGGAGGAAATGTCTATCCCTATCCATTATTAGAGTCGACACACATTTCCTCTTGTCGGGACGAATCCCGATCCACCTGCTGGGATGCCGGGGTCCTGCCGGCTTTTTTCCCTTTTTTCGGTGGGGAGCAACCCTTAGCCCCCACCGAGTGCTCAGCTGGCCTACCTGCAACTGCGCATACTGCGCAGTGGGGTTTGGCTAAGCATGCCGCTGCTTTGTGTCCAGGAGCACTGCAGCGATAACAAATATCGCTGCGGTCCACCTCCGAAGTGCACTGGAGTCGCGTGTGCCCGATTTCTAGGCATCGGAAGCACTTCATAGGGCGCGGCTCCAGGGACTCGACGTGCACATAGCTCCAGCCAATCCTCATACTCCGAGCTGACACCAGGACCTTAGCAGCTGCCACTGGACATTGCACCCAGATGCAGCCAGTGCCCCGGCGGCCCTCCCGAATTTCGCCCGCCTTGACGTGGTCAAGGGGACAGGCGGCTGCAGCGACAATCGCAGCGAGCACCTCATCCCTGGTGACGGAATCATCCAGGCCAGTAAGACGCAAATCCGCGCACTTCACCGGCCTGGCGATCCGTGCTTCTCCGGCGAGGACCTCACGGAGCTTCGCGGCGAAACTGTCCGCTGCTTCGCTCGTGACCCCTGCTGGAAGCTCGAGAACTCGAGCTCCCGTGGCCGCCTGCCTTATTTTCAGGCCTGCCGGGATGTTCAAGGCCGTCAGATCTAACCTCTGACGGGCTTTGGTGAGAACATCACTATACGTAACCCCCTTTTCGACGGCATCGTGCTGTAGTGTGATTACTACAGCTGCCGTCGTAGGGGCACGTAGTTTGCGGGCTCTACGCCTCCGCTTCTTTTTATTAGCGGCGGCTGGCGTCGCAGTGGCCACAGCGGGTCTTGATGCCGTACCGGACTTGGGCACCGCAGCGGATCCCGTTGCGACCAATGGGGGCCTCGGCACCGTAATAGATTTCACGGCGGCCGTAGGTGGCTTAGGCGTCGCGACGGGCTTAGCCACAGACTTCTTTGGCTTGGCGGAGATGGAAGCCGACATCTGCACGTCAAGCGCGGGCGCTGTCTTCTTTCCCTTCCCCTTTCCCTTCCGTACCACTGCACTCCACGTCTCTCCCAGAGAGGTAGGGGTGGGATCTGGTGCCGATGAAGGCCCAGGTTCGGCGCTACGCCTATCCGCAGCCAAAGGCGGCCTCAGGCGCTTCTCCGGGAGCAAGCGCTCCTCGAGAGCCTCGAATCGCGCGCTGATCATCGTCCCTACTTGGGATAGTACATCACGCGCGATATGCTCAGCCTGCAGTGTTGGTGCCGGCGTCCGTTCCTGGGCTGGGCGAGCCGCCTTCTCTATACTGAGACGCATGCTAGCAACCTCCTTTTGGAGCGTCGCCACCTCGTCCCGCAGCCGTTTGTTGTCGGCCTGGAGGCGGCGGGTTTCATCAGTCGATGATATGCTCTGTAGACCGTTCACCGCCTCCCGGATCATCTCAGCCGCTTCCTTAAGGGCTTTTACAAAAGTGCCCTTCAGGTTCTTTGATTTCGTAGCGACTTTGGTGATGACTTTAATGCCATCATCGACCCTCTCAAGCAGGGTCGAAGAAAGGCGAGAGTCGACTACGTCGTCAAAGCCAGCGGGGCGCAATGCTCTATCGAGCCGGCGCCTTTGGATCAGCTCTGGAACCTCCTTCTCCGCCTGGAGCTCCATCTCTGCCCTCCTGGCTTCCATGAGCTCCCGCTTCCCTTTCGCCAGCCCCAAATACTGCCCACTATTGGGCGGGCGGCCTCTACCCCTTTTAGGCACAGGGGTGCCTCTCCTTTTGAACGCCGAAGATTCCGGATGATCATCTGCTTCGGCGTCTGCATCCGAGGCGCGAGTGCGCTTCTTGCGCACTCTCTGGGCCTCTCCGCTACCCATACTGGCGAAGCTAGCGTTGCTAGCTACGCTTTTTTCCAATTCCAGGCTCATTTCAGAGCCAGAATCTGACGCGGATATACCGCCTACCTCCTCTAAACTCCCTACTGTGGTTGATGTCAAAGGGCCATCCTCCTTTCTTTGGGTATCACAGCGTTCGAGCTGTACGCCTAACTCCTTAAGAACGTCATTTCCTTTTAGATTTTTCTTCTTTTCCATTTTTATTCCCACGAGTTGGGACGATATAGATGCACTCCCCGGGTTACGCCCATTCCGGTCGACTAAAAAGTGGAGTGGGGTACATACTGTGGAGGTCCCCAGGTATCCACAGGTTTTAACGAGGGTTCTCTCGGGCTTTATAGGGTTTTCCTTCCCGCGGGCCGGCCAATTAAGGCAAGCCCTCCGACCAGCGACACAGAAGCACTCACACATATACACACCCAAACACATACACATACACACACACAAATACCCACACAACATCTCCAACTGGAGCCACCAGAAGGGTCGTTGAAGTGAGTCGCTGGTTGCGGAACGAGGAGTTGGCGAAATCTCCTCCGACGGTGGCGTCAGACGCACTGAGATTAGTCAGCGCGCCGACCCGTCCTCCTAGGCCCTATCCGATGTGTTCTCTGCTGATGAGAGAATCACACGGAGAGCCCCTCCTTGTGCTGCTCTTCGTCTGGTCCCTCGCTCCGAGCCTGTCCGGTATGGGAGACCCTATCCGGCATAGCCTTGGAGGTCATTAGGACACGCAAGCCCCTCCACCACAACAAGGTGGCAGCACGACGGGGGGGCCTACCTAACCTAACCTAACCTAACCTAACCTAGCCTAACCTAACCTAACCTAACCTAACCTAGCCTAGCCTAGCCTAGCCTGTGACGTGACACCTACTGGTGACATTGGTGACACTGGTGACATTGGTGACATTGGTGAGCATTGGTGACTCTGCTAGGTGACGCTGGTGGCGGCGGCTGGTGACATCACTGACATTACGCGACTTCGGTCGCATTGGTGGCGACTGGTGACGCGGTGGCATTGGTGACGCTGCTGACGCTGGTGACATCGGTGACACTGGTGACATTGGTGACGCTGGTGACTGACATTGGTGACATTGGTGACATGGTGACGCTGGTAACACTGGTGGTGACGCTGTCGGTGACACTGGTTACGCGAGGCCGCGCCGGCGGGGACAAGTCATCAATCCCCCCCCCCTACCATCCACCCCCTCACAGCTATAAATAGCAAAGCACAAGGCAGGACTGACTCAGTATCTCGCATTAAACAAACCACAGCGCATCTGCACTGCCCCGGTGACGGGTCCCCGGTGGCATCGGGAACGGGCGTTGACTGTTCATTGGCCCCAGTTGACAACCACCTCTGCAGTGTAACCTCAGTTGATATCTAGTAGTGACATAGTGCTTTTTTGTGCTTTCTGTGATACTTGCAGTACAAACCACTGCATATCCAAGTGCTCACTGTGCCCAACCTCCCGGTGCAGGCCAATTGCTTCAGGACATCCATCCTTCATACTATCTAAACAGGTAAACAAACACCAGTACCCCCCCCCCCCCCCATATAGCCGAAGAACCGTCAACGGGCCGCCGTGGTCACCGGTGACTAGTCACCGGCGCCGACGGGGACTAATCAGCGTCAGGGAACATAACGCCCCAATTCACATTCATAGGGATATGACATTAACTTGCTGAGTACACACATGCACAGCACAATGGAAAATAATGACAACACACCCACCAACCTTACTCAAAGCCCTTCAACCTCAATCAACACACACAACCCTACACACAACCTAACACCACTCACCACAGACATGGATTCAGCTACACGATTCAAAGAATCAAATCTACTCCAGAACCCAGGCCATTTTGGCCAAAATTAGCGAGGGAAAAAGCCTCACCAAAGCAAATAAGGATCAAATTCTGCTACTCCTGGGAGAAATAAACAACTGCACTGAATCCTTCTGCAGTAACGTACATACTCAATCCAATTCCAATGAACTAAGCATCATAATCAAAGACACTGTCCAAAATGAAATGACAAAAATACACAAATCAATGGAATCAATGAAACACGCACACACCCCATCTTACGCAAACATAACTGCCAATAAGGTAAATCCCCCCACTGTCCATAAATCACCCACTTACAAACCATCAATAATCGTCACCCCAAAAACACAAGTCACCAAACCATCTGAAACCCTACAACTCTGGAGAAAGAATATCACCTTTAAACAAGACAACTTCTCAACAGCAGGAGTTAAATTTGTCTCCAATAACAAAATTCGAGTGGAATTTGACAGTGTGGAGCACAGGGATATCACTCTCAACAAAATCACACCCACCTCCGAAATTACTGCTGAAATTTCTAAAAAACTGAAACCAATGGTCATCATTAAAGGTATTCCCATAGACACACCCCCTGAGGAACTAACTGACATCATAATTACTCAAAACGACTCAATCAAATCAAGCATAACCCATAATGATGACCTTTTGTTCAGATTCAAACGAAATAACAAGAACAAAAATCTATACAACGCCGTATACATGGTAACCCCTCCCCTGTGGAAATCCTTCACTCAAACCGGAAGAATCAATATAGATCACAACAGAGTACACGTTGAGGAGTATGTCCCTCTGCTCCAATGCTACAAATGCCTACAATTTGGACACACCATCAGGAACTGCACCAAAGACAATTCAGTCTGCTCACATTGCTCCTCCACAGAGCATGACTACCGCAGCTGTCCAGTCAAACAAGACCAAAACAGAATTTCATGTCACAATTGCAAACATCAAAAACAAAAACATAGCACTAACAACCTCACTACTAACCATAGCGCCACATCCAACTCATGCCCATGCCTACAACAAATGATAAACAAAATAAAATACCGCATCGATTATGGTTAATACACCCAGAAATAGAACATTCAATCTAATCAAAAAACCATTAAAATGCATACAGGTTAATCTTGCTAGAGGTAAATATCCATCACACGAACTACATGTATATACCACACAACACGACACCGACATTATCTTTGTAAATGAACCATACACCGGAACCACCCACACCTTCAAGACCATCCCCGGATACAATGCATACCAATTCCCC